CAAAAGGCTGAGTAATCAACCATTCCATTTCTCTGCCTCCGAGGAGAAAATGCTTTATAAATTCCACATTTGTTAACTCATTCAATCCCTTGCCTTTTGTAGTAGCCCTTTTAGGAAACCAAAGCCAGGTTATCTTCATCATGGGCCAGCCTAGGACTGCTGTGAATTCTGTCATGCCTCAGCAGGCACAGATGCATCTCCATGAGTCATCCTTCATGCCAAGCTTCTCCCCAGACGATGGCTTCTAAGTATCTCCAGATCTCCTCGAGGAGACCTGTTCCATAATCTCACCTTTGCCCTTCATCCCCTCCCTCATGGAATTGCTACTTCCTGGTGTCGATAACCTGAGGAAGTTCTGTGAATTCTGGCCAGACAACCTGATGGGTATCAGGCCGGGGCTCTTGTAGAAAGATCAGGCTTGCTGTGCGAGCTGCCCCTGGAGGTTCCTCTGTAGTCGACCACCATCCCACAGTAATCATAAGCAGCATTTGATTCAACTCTGTCCACTTCCTTCTCGTACCTGATTCTTAAGAACTGAGTATGCGGCCCTTAAAACTGGAAGAGAAAATGTCATCTCTCAAGATAGAAGCTTCAGTCTTCTTCAACGAGAGAGGAAAACATCTGCGAAATTACTGTGGCTTCCTGAATCTTCGGGGTGCCTTCAGTGCAGGCTTTTATATTTGAGGATCATATGAATTATACATAGACAACTATGAGCTGGTGGACAGCTTCCAACTACTAGAAATTATATTTCCCTCCCTTTTGATAATGAGTTCAAGGTCTTCACCACAAGTGACATCATGTCTCAGAGGCAAAAATAGGTCTCTATGAAGACTATGTAATGTCTTCTGTCTAGCAGATCCTATTTCCTCTTTATGCCCTACTCTCCTTACCTTCCTAATTGGCTCTCGGACCTCAAAGCTCTTTGTTGCTGCTGTCGGGAGCATTAAATAATTAGATGTAGTCTGACTAGGGAGAGGTTAGGCGCTTAGCTGGGCTGACTATATTTCAGTTCACCTTAGAAACCCAAATGACCTAGGGCTCTGCAAAAATGGGATGGTGGGCATTACAGCCTGGGGGATAGTGATACAATTCTTAGGAACCAAACAGGTCATTTGGACCTTAGACACAGGTACATGTGGGAATAATTTACATACTCTGTTAAACCCAACTGGGGTGAGATAAAACAGCCTCCTTTACTGGGCGTTCAATACAATGGGCTTCACAGAGAAGATCTCATGTAATACTGAAAAGAACTCTTTCAAAGTTTCCCATTTAACTCACGAGGAGAGAGAGGTTTAAAGGATAAGTAAGATGCTTAACAAAGGGGTTCAGATTCATGCTCACAGGCTGGGTCCCGGGGGTTGCTACCCTTCTGTGGACTCTTCTTGGCTACGCTCTGGAAGCTAGCGGCTGCCACGATGAAGGGACATTTGTGCACTAGAGGCAGTGGTGTCTCTGAGCTTACTACCTGCTACCTATCATACCCAGAATTCAGAAATGAAAGGAGCTGTTATGAGACTGAGATCTCTCCCCGCTTCGGTCTGAAGTGAGGCATTCTCTTTCTCTTCCCCTCTATGGGGCAAAGATAAACACAAACTACATTTCACTTCCACCTTCCAAGAGATTAAAAGCATGGATTTCAGACTTTTTTTTTAGCAGCTAATTGTATCTCTGCAACAGCTGAGGGAAGAGTTTAAAAAAAATAATAATCTAGCGCTTGGGAACTATTACATAGACTTTAAAATCGAGGAAAAGCAAATTCTAGAAGCTCTTAACTCCATCACCCCTTTAAGAAGTATACTTAATCCTTTAGCTTTAACTCGTCCATCACCCCTTTAAGAAGTATACGTAATCCTTTAGCTTTAACTCTTAATTTACTCAAAACAGAAACCCAAACAGGCAATCTGTTGTTTTGGGGAAAACATTTCAATGGAAATCAAGAGCCCAGTCTCTAGCCCCCACAATTCTGTTAAGTAGCCATTTGATGCTACCAGCAAGAGACCAAAATTGCACCAGAATGAAATCCACCGTCTCAAAACAAGGTGATTTCTGAAGTTCGTGCTGGCTAAGGGTTAATGAGGTATGCATCAGTTGGAGCTGAAAATAATATAAAGATTACTCCCAAACAAAACTGCCGTTCTTTTATATATGTGTCCTTTTGATGAATGTGATTTATATGAATGAGTGATGGACCAACAGATCTAATCCTCTTAAAGTATTCAGAAATTCAAAATATTTCCAACTATTGAAATTATGGGCAAATTTGTAAAAGTCTAAGAGTTCTAGACTCATCTAGTGTTGTTTATTCCAGTAAATTGTTTACTGTGATAGCCCCTCTTCGAACATGGCTCCTGATAAAGCCATGCCTCCCAGTATTTACACCCTCTTGTAGACCCACCCACGTTGATTGAATCTGTGACTCACTTTCTCCAAAATGACATCATGCCAGGACTGGGTCTGGGTCAAAAGAAGTCTTGATGGGCTTCTACTTCTTGTGCTTTTTGGAGCCCCAAGTTGCCTCGGCTCTCACTGCCCCACACTGAATGTGTGAGAGTTCGATACATCCAATAGAGACTGTCCCAGATGCCTCGTTTCCAATGTCATCCTTTGTCCTAATTGAAATGTGTACATTTCAGGGAAAGCTAAAAGCCCTATTGTGGGCTCTAGATGCCTTGATGGAAAGAAGCTCCTTGTCACCAATATTTTGAATTGTCCTTTTGTTTAGCATCCTGGAGATGCCTAATGGCTCAGAGGCATGCTTTGCTTCTGCCAAGAGGGCAGAGTAACTGAAATGGCATGTGGGGTCCTCCACAGGTGAGCCCTCAAGATGGCGGTCCTAAGACAGAGTTCTCACAGAGGTGGATTTCCTTAAGACTCACCTTGGTGCTCGAGACCCTCTGGGGTCTGCCTGTGTCAGGGGCTGTGTGTACCTGCTTAGAAAACCACCTTTGTGCTCCCTTTGCTTTCTATCACTCCTGGGTTCCTCTTCCTAGTACTCTAAGCTCTTCTGATTTCTCCACTTCTAGGGCTCCACTTTCTTGTCCCTCAAATGTCCACCAGCTGATCCTGACACAGTCTTAGTTAACTGGTGAAAAACTGAAGATAAGGCCTTTGTCAGGAAGTTTTGCATCAAAAATGAAACATAGGCATGAAGCTGTAACAACTGACAACTTGGGGAGGGATCCCAGCCCTATGATTTCTCAATGATACCAGGAAGACAGCTGCTGTCATCACAAGGATGGCCCAGTGTTCTCCCTTGCTCACAGTAAGTGAGCGGTAAGAACTTTACCACCATCTCTAGAGCAAATCTCACACCTAAAAAGGCAGAAGAGACTCCAAGGACAAGCAACAGAAACCCTCTAGGGGAAAATTCAGAGAAGAGCTTCATGATACAGTCATGTTTTCTAGCAAAAAGCAAAACAAAACAAAAACAAAAAAACACTGTTCCATTTCTTCCTTTGTAAAATGGGTTTGAGCATAACAAATTTTTCTGATGACGAAAAGAGCCTGGCTCTTTTCTGGTGGTTAGTTAACCCTTCTCCCTTCCATTTGTGTGTCATTTATAGGTGACCTGGATGACTGATTATATATATATATATATTTTTTTTTTTTAAAGATTTTTATTTATTTGACAGATCACAAGTAGACAGAGAGGCAGGCAGAGAGAGAGGAGGAAGCAAGCTCCCTGCCGAGCGGAGAGCCCGATGCGGGGTTCGATCCCAGGACCCTGAGATCATGACCTGAGCCGAAGGCAGAGGCTTTAACCCACTGAACCACCCAGGCGCCCCTGGATGACTGATATTTAATATTTCTTGTGCCTCTAAGAGTTAAGAACAAGGTTATACAAGTCCTGAGAGGTAAAAATTTATTGATTTATATATCAGCATGTTATGATATGGTCACACCTGCTCATACAGCTGACTTTTTTTTATAGCCAAAAGAGGAATTATTTTTCCTTTTAAAAATACATATTTTTTTTCCAGCAGGAAGAAACATTTTAAAAACAAGCATTTTCATATTAAGTGGAGATTTAAAACAATGGCTTTTTTTCCCCAACTCATGAGAAATAGGGCTGGTCAGTGAGAGATCTCTGAGAGCTTCAAATATGCCGTCTTCTGCCCTTGATTTGTTCTTCATCTTGGACAGAAACAACTTCTAGAGGGGAAAAATTAGAACCTCAACTCAAAACAACAGCCTGAATCCAAACAGAAGAAGAGGTAGACTGAACTGTAACATTTTAACTTATTTGGTAGATTGTAGTATGATATTTTAATACATTTAAATTGTTTCAGTGGGATCAAACATATTCTACAAACAATGATCTAAACAATAAATGTTTTAAATGCTCAAAACAAAATCTCAGAGAGGCTCATATCACAGTCTACTTCGCTTTGAGACCCGAAAGCACAGAATCAGCTTTAGAAATAGGCAAGCTTCCCATGCACTTCAGGAAAAGTTTGCTTTTGTCAAATTCTTCAAATCAAAATCATGCTGTTTAAGACCACTGTGAATGCTTTCCTACCTTCTGAAGCCACTGGAAGGGTCTGTGGCAGGAATTTCCTGAGAGCAGTGAGTAGCTTAACTGTGAGAAATTTATTCAGTACTAACAGTGAAACCAACAGAAAAGACAGGGCAGTGGTATGCTGGAGATCGCTCCGACTGGCTCCTGACCCTAGAGCCGATGGTTAAATTTTAAAATTTTGCCAGCAGTTGTTAAACAGCTGTTACTAAAATTATATAAGCTTGTAATTAGCGCTGAAGCTCAAAGTGGTTCACTTTAATGAGTAAAATTTGTACGAGGGTAAGAAATAGTTTAGCAGTAGATCACATATTGGGTTGAGTGACAAAAAATTTGAGAGATAGGTGAATTAGGATGTTATTCCATTTTTCACATCACAGGTTGGTGACAAGAGTTCAACAAACTCAACTAAAGCATCCTGGGAAAATCACTTGGCCATACAGAATTTACAGTTAAGTATATTTTATTATTATCTATTAATTGTGTTCTATATTCTTGTATCAGGAAAATTTATAGCCATCTTACGTACATCTGCACACATCATTTTTTTTTTCCCCAGGAGAACGGCCTGTTCAACATTTACCAGTATACCACCAGGATAGCAGTATCTCCACCATACCAAGGGGGAGAGCAGGGAAGGAGTGGAGGAAAGAGTTTAAAACCAAAGAAGGAAGTACACTGTTTTTTTCACTTGGTTTTCAGTTTGCCCTCAGCATCCAGCTGCCAAGTGTGCTCCCAAGTACATGCCCACAGATGTTCATGCCAAAATACCTCCAGAAACACACAAACACCCCGTCCCCACCACTAAGAAGTAAAAGCACTTTACTTGAAAAAAATCAACTTTATTTTTTCTAGGTTAAAAAAAAATAGAACCAGCTATTCATATTTTTGTTGTTGTTGTGAGAAAATGCTTCTTTTGGTGTTCACATCTCAATTTCTGAAAAGGTGATCCAGTTACTAAAATAACCCGTATGTGTTCATAAACCAGATCCGCATGTGACCAGCCCTTTACAAAAATTAAAGACAGTTGCCACAGCCTTTACATTCATTCTGAGCGTACATTTCAACATGCAGGTAACAAAGAAAGAGAAACAGGTCAACAAGCTGAAGTAAACATATGGCATCAGGAAAACGAAAACCCATCTGTATAAAATAAATACAACTTTGTAATAACTGTAAGGAAAATGAAAGCACTTAATGCAACAATGGCAGGTCCGTGTGTAACTGTTTCATTACCCAGTCACGAGATAAGTTACTGTAAAATGCAGACCCCTCATGTGTAAAGAGCTTGTGCACCGGTCCTGTGTTCAACAGTTCTACACAATAAAAATAAAGCCATTCAAAATATGTGTGCCTACTTTGCAACTAGAATACACTTAAAATTTTTTTGCTCTTTTAATTGTTTTAAAAAATATTAAATGTAAAAATCCTCCAATGGAAATTTTGCAGAAAAACCCCAATTTTATCTTCCATATGGCCAACGCCCCCTCCCCCAGCAGTTCAGCAACCCTCAGCTTATTCCCAGGGTCCAGTTCCTAATTGTTGAGGATCAATGCAAAATGATTGCAATAAAGCACCAACCAGTGATTGCTCCAGAGAGCACCCGGCCCCTCTGTGATCTAGAAATGTCCAATGTCGGTGGTTTTGGTCCCAAACATATTAGTCTCCACCCCCTTATATCATAAACCAGTGTACCTTCTGCTTTGGACTTGGCCTTTCACGTGAACAGACATAAGGTTCCCAGTATTACATGGCAAAAAAGTAAGACTAACCATTTTTAGTCATCCTTGTGGACCAGAGCGGACCCCCTCACGATGGTAACTCTGGAGTGAAATCCTGTGTCATGAAGAAAATAACTCACTCTTCCTATTCGGCAGTGCAAATAACATTTCCTTATATCGAAAGAATCCAGTAAGACTGTCCATGATTAAAGACTGCTATCTCTGATTATGACCAGGTCCCACTAGTTCACAAGAGTCTTCAGGGAAGTGATTGTCAAAATGTCACTAAAGACAAACCCACAAGGAGTAACACGAACAAAGAATGAAGAGGCATTCTTAACATCAGTCCCCACGAGAGTCACACGAGGACGATGCTCTGAGGCCTGTGTTGGGTGACTTCACATCTCATTTCCATTAAAGGCTTGAGCATCTCTGCAAAACCGCCAACTCTTGATTATTCAGGGATTCCTTTTCTAGCCCATGGATTATTTAGGCTTTTGTGTTCCTTCTTTCTGAAGCTGTCTTCCCAAATCTTTCACTACTCATTAACACAGTCATAAATACGTACGCAAGAGAAACTAATGAACAATTAAAATCATTGTTTTAAAAATCAGCAAGCATCTCTAGAAGAACAAAAAAGCCTGATTAAAAAAACCCCTCAAACTCATAAATACACATTACATTTTTGGCTAACTATGTTGTATCACTGGATTAATTGCCCAGCAATCCCTAGTTCCTTCACTGTGGGGAAGTCATGTTTGATTGTAAGATTAAAATCTACTTAATAATATGACAGAACTGAACTCAGAGCCCTCTTTTTGTAAAAAGCTATTTAGATTCTCAACTAACTTCTTTGCCCACCCAAAACATCATTTTCCATTCTGTCATTTTTCTTTACCTTCCACTGGTGTATAGGTTTCTCCATCATATGTCTATATGTATCATATCTGTGTATTTCAACACCAACGACAGTTTCTCACGTGAAGAGTAAACCGCCGGTGTGGTCATTTCCATATGTGCTGCACCTGCCCTCGGCCCATGGCCCAGCAGGTAGGTGCTCTATCACTCTGACGTGTTGGGAAGAGGATCCAGAAGGGAGTTCTCACGCCCCTCTGCTGTAGGGATCTAGGCAGGTCAGCTGAGACCAAGCAGTGCCGAGACTATAAGCTACTGGTATGACACTGGCACGGTTTTATTCTCTCCCCCCGGAATAAAATGTGTATTCCCTAAACCTCCTTTCATCTCACTTTGCAAAGAAAGTACAAATTTGGAATTTTTATTCACTTCTACACAGTGGCATATTGCTGCTTCCCTGATTTGCCACAGAACGCTCTCTCCACATTCCCTAGTGCAAGCAGCTGTCCTCCAGTTACTGGTAAGGAGAGCGCGATCGATGCTCTCAGATGAACAAAAAAGAGAGAACACGCTGATTAACAATAGGAGGGGGATACGTAGATCAGTGACACATCTATTACAACTCACAAAAAATGAACTCACATATCTATTGGTATTTGTCACTCTACAGACTGTTGACGTGACTCTGCGCTTGAAAAGTAAAGCGTCTTACACCATAGCTGGTTTAATGTGTACAGTATATTAACAAGAGCACGTTCCTTTGGAGCACAGCGCTGGCAAAGTGGCCGTGACCTACGTTTACGCATGTGCGTATGCCTCTCTCGCCCTGACAGGAGAACTGGCCAGCCCTTGCTGTGGCTTGCTTTAGCGATAAGGAAAAGGCCTATCTAGCTAGGACTGTGTGCGCCATACTCGACAGTGAGCACATTATTCTCCAGATAGCTGACTAACCTCTCAAGTGAACAATTTCAATTCAGCCTGGATTCTAGCAGCGTTTGCTGGACCTCAAACAGAAGCATCGTTAAGGCTTCCTATCGCCATCCATGCCTCTGAAGCAAGATCAGTTTCACCTACTCACTGTCCCTGTAAAACACAGTAAAATGCTTAGGTTTCCAAAAAAAAGAAAGAAAAGAAAAATTGCATCTTGTAACAACCCCTTCCAAAACACATACAATAACTGTCTTCTGCATTTTACCAGTAGTAGCATAATATGCAATGAGGTATTTCATTAACACATTATTCTCTTTCATATATGCACGGAATTAACCCAAAGATGAAGCTGCTGTGGGCTTGTATTTGGTGTTGCTTTACCTTTCCCACATAACTGGGAGAAAATTCACATCTTTTCAGTTTTTTTTTTTTTTTTTTTGGTTTATTTAAAAATAGAAAACATTAGCCTCTATTTTTCTTTTCTGGCCTACTTCTCCAAATTGCCATTTGTAGGATTAGTGACAACAGGGCATCTACAACGCTCATATCACAGGAAACTGCCACTGACTTCCTAGGATCTTCAGAGCCCACAATCCCAAACCAAACACCAACTCTGTCTCAATGCTGGGAGTGCGGGTGAGGGACAGAGGCCATCCCAGCACTTTCTGAGAAGAGTCTGGTTCGACCGTGAGGTAAATCATAGTGGAGGGGAAAAAAGTATTCTCTAGAAATAGAAACTTGACTTTATCCTCTTTAAAGCAACTGTAAAGAGACTGGGAAGCCTTTTGTGCGGGTCTGATGGTTACACCACCCTGATGTGGGCAGCAACTTGAGGTGATGACAGAACACAGGTTTGGGGGTACCATGTGAGAACTTATCACCATTTTAAGCCTATGTCTGGCTCTCTTATTTACTCTTATTTTTCTAATAAAACCCCTATCTCACTTTGAACTGATCATAATGTTTCGCATTAATCTGTTGCAGCCCCCCTCCCAAATACAGTTGGTGCTAACAAGCCGAAGTGGGCGGAACACAGCCTCTGAGCCGATGGAAGGCTCCTGTGGGCGCTCCGTGCAGGGGGCACCCTGGTACCCACGCAGAGAGGAGACAGCCTCTCAAGAATCCCGTTCACTGATTATGCTGACGTTTGTTTTCAGGCTATATTACTAATCCTTTGCTATATATGCATCTGATAAAAGTGCATTTGGTAAAAGACAATTATCAGTCTATGATATGCCTCTATATGAAAAGAGAAATCAAGTGACCCCCCTCATTTAAGGGAAAGCACTAGCGCATGTAAACACGATGTTGGACTGAGCTAGCCTTTTTAGGAACACATTCTAGTACCGGAACGTGTCCAGTGGACACTGCTTCTCCCCCACGGGCGTGCTGTGCCGGACACCGGAGTGTCACTGCGAACTGCAGGGGAACAGTTCTTGAGGACGCCGCCCAGCTCCCCTCCAGGCTCCTAGACACACAGCCAGAGTTGGTGGAAATGAGGGCGCTCTACAGCTCTGCCCTGATAGAGACTACTAGCAAAGAGGAACGAATACAACTCTCTGAGCTGGAACTAGGTCATCAAGCACGTCTGGTGGCAACGGAGTTTCTCTCAGACGGTCTTCTACGATGAGTTTATGATTTCCTCTTCTCCAAATGTGGTGTTTGCTTAAGTTTGTGGTAGAGTGTATCTTTTTAAAACGTGAAAGGTCCTTAAAACATATTAGCAGGTCATTATATTACTGATCCTCATTTTAGTAGAGTTTTAAAATATCCCAAAGGGGGATAAATATTAATCCATCCATTGAATTTCCTTTGCTTATTTTTTTTATATTCTGATTTGCACATGTAAAATAATGCACACTTATGAAAGTCTGAACTCCTATGGTGACCTTGACAAGTCCAAGTCAATTCCTAGAACAGGCAATGGTAAAAATACTGGATGATGTTATACCACATGTAGCCTGACAAAAATGCGAAAGACTGTATGAGAAATATCCACATATTGCTGAGGGTCATCTCCCGGGAAACAGCTTCCTTATGGCCCTTGGGAGGTGGAAAAGCTCCTAAAAGACAAGACAGAAATATTCATTTACTTACTGTGGTGGTAAGGTCTCCTGGAACAAAAGTCGAATATTAGTTCACTTAGAATTGTTGTTGTTGGTTTTTGAAAGCATCTTCTGTGACTTCTCATTGTTTCTGAAGAGAGATCTCATTTAAAATACAATTTTCGAACTGCTGAGCCCTTTCCTACCTCCGAACATTTGCGTTTATTCTTCCTGCCTGAGATGCCTTTCCTCATCTCAGGGAAAGGCAACCGCATCTGCATTCTTTCAGTATCAGAAAAAAATACCATCGGCGCCATCCCCCCCAAGTCAGTCACAGTCTTCTCCACCGTTTATTTCCTTCTTAGCATTTTCCATGATCTGTAATGATCCAGGTCTATCTTTTCTTTTTTCTACAGACTTGTTTACTCTCTGTCTCCTTCTGGAATTTAAGCTGCATGAGAGTAGGCACTCTGGCTGCCTTGCTTCCATAGTAACCTTAGAGAGTTCTACAGTGGCTAAGACACAAGATGTGTGAAATTGAATATTTTATATATATATAAAGATTTTATTTATTTGACAGCAGGAGAGAGAAAGAGAGAGAACAAGCAAGGGGACCAGTAGAGGGAGAGAGAGAAGCAGACTGAAGACTGAGCAGGGAGCCCGATGCGGGGCTCAATTCCAGGGTCTAAAGGCAGACACTTAACCAACTGAGCCACTCAAGTGCTCTGAAATTGATTTTAAACAATTTCTGAAATGACATAATTGACACCAATTCCTCCATTTACAAGTTAAATGTTTCTGCCACAAAAAAAAGCAGTGGTAAATCATTGGTATTCTTTTCAAAAGGGAATATTATTTATGAAATATTATCTTAGTAATTAAAAGGAGAAAGACAAAGTAAACAGATGTCTTCAAATTCTTTTCTAGAAGGGAAAGCTAGACCGCTTCAGGGCAATATTACCTAAGGTCATCTTGATAACACTTCAGCATTTCAAATGGTCTTTGTCCTTGCTGATAATCCCTTTGAGTAAGCTGATTCATGCCGGGATTTGCTTCTCACAAGCAATTTACAGAGTACACTTTCAAGTTTCAAGGTCTATTATACAAATAGCTTTCTTAAAAAGAGACTTCCACTATTGTTGCTACAATTTAGGCTAAATATCATAAAGCAAGAGACAAAGACTGAGAAAGAAGAAAGATCTTGCTGACTCTTAATCACCACATGCCTTCTTAAACATCTATCCTATTTTATCTTCAAAGAGATTTTGAGAGTAAGACCAAGGACTGAACATGGCGGAGAGGGGCATCTTGTTGAATGAGTCTTACTAAGAATTCTAGAGACAAGCACAGCGTCCAGCCCCTGTCATATGAGTACGTACTAGCCCACAGCTCTGGGGTCAAAACCTTAGGATCCAGAAGGAATACTGTTGTGGGTAATGTGAAACAATTCTAAACACAAAAACAGAAGCATTAAAGGTAATTAACAGTATCAGCCTTTGTGCACCATTAGGCCTTCCACAGTTTGATTTAACATGAACATTAATTCTGAACCAAAAAAATCGAAGTGGGAAGAAAACAGCACTTTCTGTTCATCTAAAATCTCACAGCTATCATCTGACCTAAAACAACTTTCTCTTCCCCTTTTTCTTTTCCTAATGTAGGTTCCAGAGAGTAAGCCTACAACATATGTAGTTATTTGTGAAAGTACTTTGGTAATGCCTGGCATTCTACCAACGCTAATTTCCTTCTTTCCTAACTTCCTTTCTTCCTTCCTCCCTCCTCCTCCCTTCCTATGGCTGTTTCAATGCATTGCAGTTTTCACATAAGGTAGAGAATATTAAGTATAGATAAGGGAACTTCCGGTAAATTGACTTTTTTCTCTCAAAGAGAAAAGTATAAGGTCGTATTCGTGAAAATGTAAAAAGTAAGCTTTATCCCTAATGTAAAGAAAAGAATAAGCATGTAAAAACACAGTTCAAAATGATCTCAAATGGTATTTTTTAGATGACGGTATTATAAACAATCACATACAATGCCAAATCACAAATGTTATTTGCTATTTCATAAAACAGCCCATGTAATTGTACACATACGACTGTAGTCTTCTACATACTGTGTACTGTCTCGGATTAGTTCCACTTGTACATTTTACTCATCATGTGATCTTGCACACTGGCTGCTGAAGTAAAGGCCTGAATAAATTTAACATTAACACTGTCCTAATGAATATTCTAAGCTGGAATTCTTAAATATAGGAATAGTTTGATTGCTCTAGGGTATCTGGAGAATGGAAAAAATGGTTATCTCCCCTAAAGTATATCTTTGGAAAGATCACCAACTTCAGAAATATACGTAATAGGATACTGTGTACCTGTTTCATAAAAATGTGATAAGAGTTCTTCTTTTTCAATAAAACGTTGGTAGAGCCAATCAGCAAGGCCATCCGTCTCCAGGGGTACATCTTTAATTGGAAAGATCCTATGAAGAGTTAGAAAAGAAGCAAAAACTACTTTAATTCAGAAATCAAAATCATTCAGAAGCACAACTTACCTTTGGTGACTGAAATGCTAAAGAAAGTTATGGAATCACCTGTGGCTTTGGCAAGGGTTCATTTCTACAGTTTCTCAGGTACTCTCTTTTTTTTTTTTTTTTTAAAGATTTTATTTATTTGACAGAGAGAGAGAGCACAAGCAAAGGGAGCAGCCGGCAGAGGCAGAGGGAGAAGCAGGCTCCCCACTGAGCAAAGAGCCCGACGCGGGATTGGATTCCAGAACCCTGGCATCATGACCTGAAACGAAGGCAGCCACCCAACCAACTGAGCCACCCAGGCGTCCCTCAGGGCATCTTGGTTTTTAAAAAATTGTTGACTATACAACAGAGTCCATTCATTCATTCAAACATTTGCCAACCTATTGTATGTTAGGTCCAGTGCCAGATGATGAGAAAATACTAATAAACTGTCCTATAGCTACAAATAATTACTGAGAAATAACTGTCTTCCCATGCTTATGGGTTTAAGAAGAAATGGTGTTCAGAATAGATGAGATTTTAAACTGTAGTTACTGGGGTGCATGAGTGGCTCAGTCCACTGGGCATCTTGGTGTCAGGTGGGGTCGGATCTCCCAGTGCAGAGAAAGAGCCCCACTGGGGTAGCGCTCTGCATTCAGCAGGGAGTCTGCTTCCCTACTTGGCACATGCACCCACACACTCTCTTTCTCTCAATTAAATAAATAAACCTCTAAAAAATAAAATAAAACAAAATAAAATAATAAAATAAAATAAAATAAAATAAAATGCAGCTACTGTAGGACATTTAGCATAGTCAGAGGCTTGGCCGAATAATGCATGTAGCAATGCTCTTTTGGAGGAAATGTCTGTGAACCAGACAGAATCTGCCTGAACTGGTGCCTGAATTGTATCAGAGACAGAGGTTTCCTGAGCCGGGCCACCTCTTACTGGAGCACGAATGTGCAGATTCTGTGAATGGATCCCGAATCACCAGGAGACGGACCGGGATGATTAAGGATACACATCTGCGGGACTCAAGGGCAGAAAAGGGCAGCTCGAGTACATACTCTGTAGTTGCTGACACTGAAGTTTCTTTTTTGTTTTCCAGTTTTGTGGGGGAGTTAATTTTATTTTAATCAACGGTATAAAGAGGCACAGTTTTAAAAGCCTGCAAAAGGTTTGTTGAAAAAATAGTGGTCCCCGTCCCACTGCCATTGTTTCTCTCTCCCCAGAGGGACTGATTTTTACGTCTTTGAACCAAGGATTTTGATATCTATTGCCATGTTTCCTCTTCAGTTTTAGGGCCAGGCTACTGACTTCCCACTACGGTAGAGGAGGAGTAAGCACCTTCTTCCCTCTCCCACCACACATTCATATCCTTCGCATCTTCCCAATGCAGCTGTAGGGTAATTGCAATGAGCAAAGTACTAGACATTTACATTATTATAATCATGTACATATATTCAAAGCTAGGCCATGCAGTCAATCAACACTACCCTTCCTTTCCTGTCCAGTTTTTGTTCTCCCTAACTTGAGCAATTACATCATTTTCTCTGTATGGGGAACTAATTCAGCCATAAGCTCTTGTCCATCTAGAGTCAATTCTCTAGAGCATGTCTGCCAACTTTTTCTTAAAGGGCCAGAGAGAAAGCATTTAGACTCAGCAGACTTTATGGTACCTGTCGCAACTATTCAACTCCTCTTCGGTAAGTGTGAAAGCAGCTGTAGACCAGGTGCAAGTACGTGGGTACAGTTATGTCCAGGTAATACTGTATTTAAAAACCAGGCAGTGAGCCAGACTGACCAGTGCTCTAGATCTTCTCTCAAGGCGTTTGTGTGCATCAGATATTCTTTCATTTTTATCTTCCTGAATACATTTCACCCACACTGTTTTGTTTGCCTGTAGTTTTTCATCCTGTCGAGGCCCCTTACTCTGTCTTGGTGATTCTCCAAAAATACATTTAATGTTTCCTACATCCCATGTCTTCCTTTTTCTGTATTTACTCTACATTCTGATGGAGCATGTCCGCCAGTGGTTTCTGGAGATAAAGGGTTCTCCTGAAATCTGGCATTTCTGCCGATGTCTTTTTTTTGTCCTCATACCTGGCTAACAATGTGACTAGATAGACGATTCAGGGTTGCAGTTCACTTTCTTCCATCTCTGTCTTTGTGTCTTCCTTTCTAGGGGATTCTTACTTAATTTCTTTCTTTCTTTTTTTTTTTTCTTACTTAATTTCTAATCTTTTTTTTCTACTGAGTTTTTGCTTCTTTTCTCATATTTTTAATTTCTAAGAGCTCTTCGAATGTTCCTTTTTCATTGTTTTTGATTGTTCACTGTTATTATTTTTGCTATAATATTACAATATTGTTGTTTTATTGTTATAGTATCTTATCTGAGAATTAGAATAGAAACTTTAAAACATGCAGGAAAGTACAGAGAGGAGGGTTAAGGAACGAGCCGGATTTCTGGCAGTTGTGCTTTTCCTGCACCATTCCTCCAAGTCACTTGATTCTGTTTGTTTTCGTGTCCATCTTTCACAGCAGAGGCCGATCAGATGACCAAGTCACCCAGTGAGTCTTTTGTCGCTGACGCACATTTACGGACAGGGGATTACACAGCAGACTGACGGCTCTCAGCGCTGAGTGTGGTTTGTTGACTGGAGCTGCACAGAGGATTATCCGGTTGGGCCATTTAAGTCAGTCTTTCCTTGTGAACTTGCCATTGCCGCAGAAGAAGATCCTCTAGCGTCCTGCCCAGAGAGTGAAGGCCTAGTTGTTGGCTTTCTGGCCGCAGATGGAGAGAGCAGGGCTGGGGTCTCAGCACCTAGTGCCATGACATCACTTAACCATGCCATTTTCATTGTGGGACCTTTGCCTCAGCTGTGCCAGGTGTCTGTGTGACCACAGAGCCTCTGGTTCCCTCTCCAGGGTAAGCCTCCAGTTCCCGCCACAGCAGGGAACAAAGAATCCCCCAGCTGTGGGATGGAGGTTAGGAGTGCTGGGGATCTGAGTTCCTCAATGGATTTCAACCAGACCCAAGTATAACAACCCTTTCAACCTTATTTCCACGGGCACTGATCCTGCCAGTTTTTCAGTTCTGTGGCGTAGAACTGTTCAGGTTGGCTCCTGGCCATTCCCCCCCCACCTCCCACCCCCCCCACCCCCGGCTTAGGGTTCTGACTGCTCATCTGTTTCCTGACTTCCGACTTTTGTTACTATTGCTTTTCCTACTTTCCTCATCCTTGTGGGTTTACACTTTAAAGAAAACTCTTCAGTGTCATTCTATTGGAGTTCTGGAAGGGCATGCAAATTGACATGACTCTGAGCCACCATGTTCTTTAGGAAGCTGTCCTGTTATTTCTGAAAAGTCCAAGATGATTTTTGATCTTGGGCCAGTGTCTACTACTTGGCATTCTACAATTCTACATTCTACTTGAAGTATTACTATTTCAAGTTTAGGCAAAATGTGTGTCAGTCACTCAGTAAGGATTTGAAGATTATAATGAGGCATACCCATCATAAAAACATTCAACAGCTTCTACAGTTTATCGGTAGAATACAATGTCCAGACGAGTCAAGTAGTACAAAGGATTCTAAATGACCAGGATGTCCATGCTCAGACTCCTTCAAAGGCTTCTTAAAAATTACTCATGTAGCACGGTCATTTGCATAAAAAACAATCAGAAGGAACATTATTTATGAATTGCATTATAATCAGATCCCTTTCTCTTGTTATTTAAACACTTAAATATCACATTTGGGATATTTAATATTTAATATTTAAGTATCCATGGGCAGGAAAAAGAAGAGAAGAAATGAAGGAAAAGTATGGTATGGAAAGAAACTATTAAAAATCAATTTCAGGAAATCACAATTTTGATTAAAAATTTTGCTTTCAAGGGGCACCTGGGTGGCTCAGTGGGTTAAAGCCTCTGCCTTTGGCTCAGGTCATGATCCCAGGGTCCTGGAATCAAGCCCCACACTGGACTCTCTGCTCAGCGGGAAGCCTGCTTCCTTCTCTCTCTCTGCCTACTTGTGATCTCTGTCTGTCAAATAAATAAAATCGTTAAAAAAATTTTTTTGCTTTCAAAAATTTGAAAAGGATGAAAGGTTAACCAAACTATAGTTTCATTTACACAGAAAGTAAGTTTCCCAATCTTAGTCACCTTTCTATTCCCCTAACTATAGTACTATATTGCTCTATGGCAGTAATACAGAAATGTTCTGGTTTATTAAATGTTTTAATGGGGTAGGAGATCCTAAGGTCCAGAAACTTCATGTTTCAGCTTGCTACTATAAAATCCCCTACCAGAATTAGATTTTCTTTTGCTTTGAAAGAGCTAACCACAAAAAGAGGAATTAAAGAACATCACAACTTTTTTTTTTTTTAAGATTTTATTTACTTATTTGACAGAGATCACAAGTAGTCAGAGAGGCAGGCAGAGAGAGAGGAGGAAGCAGGTTCCCTGCTGAGCAGAGAGCCCGATGCAGGGCTCAATCCCAGGACCCTGGGATCATGACCCGAGCAGAAGGCAGAGGCTTTAACCCACTGAGCCACCCGGGCGCCCCCATCACAACTTTTTTTTTTTTTTTTTTTTTTAAAGATTCTATTTATTTATTTGTCAGAGAGAGAGAGGGAGAGAGAGCAAGCACAGGCAGACAGAATGGCAGGCAGAGGCAGAGGGAGAAGCAGGCTCCCTGATGAGCAAGGCGCCCGATGTGGGACTCGATCCCAGGACGCTGGGATCATGACCTGAGCCAAAGGCAGCCGCTTAACCAACTGAGCCACCCAGGCGTCCCCCCATTACAACTTTTAAAGAGAAAAAATACTCGAAATGCTTACACTACATAAAATCATCCCATAGGCTAGTATTTCTTAGCCCCTTTAATGCCTATACTCCTAGGTAATTGGAAGATCTCTTTCAACTCAAAACGTTTACTCTGCACTCTCTCCTGTTCTCATGCCTCAC